TTATATTATAACATCGATAGAAACAAAGAATAAAACTAAACATTAAAGTCGAGATGTATATCGTTACATTGCGTGAGTATCATTCTACTCCAATTACAAATACAAAAGCATAAGAACGAACTTATCGATCACCAGTCAACTAGACTAATGCCAGAAATGTATAATTAGTATAGATCAATCAGCCCACTTTATTCAATCTTCAGTTCCAAACTGGATGTCTCGTCTAATCCCTTCAATCGCTCCTATTTGTCCATCCCTAAATCTCCAAGTAAGAAACTGGAGATTTCAGCAATCGTGAAAAATAATTACATTCTCATACATAATCTAACGGACAAATTGCATAAAAAAGTAACGTACTTTAACTTGATTCATATTTTGCATAACGTACTTTCAAAACTTTACATCTTATATAACTTTCATTTTAGTATATAAGATGTAAAGTTTAAACATTTAAGTATCCGGGTAACTGGTTGAAACATTAACCGGTTATCAGGCTAACATAGCGAGTGATATGGTATTCAACTCAGTATTAGTTAATAAAACGGACCCCACCAAATTGATGATTATTTTGAGTCACCAATTCTTTCGAGTATGGAACTAAAACTATCATTAAAAAAAAGGGTTGTGGGTTGATGACGTTGATTACGTCGATTACGTCGTCCACCAAATAGAGGGATCCATCTGTCACCAATACGTGGTGACCGTCACTAAGAAATGGTATTGCGGTCTATAGTTGAAGACGACAGTTTGATGCAACTCGCTGTCACGTTAAATAATCCCAAAATCATAAAATCTGTAGTACTTAAATTAGGTGGGGGATTTTTTAATTTATAATTAAATGTGTGTATATATAAATAATAAATAATAAATAATTAAAAATAATAGATGCGAGTGGAACGGCAGCCTTTTGGTTACTGAGTGTAACTCACACTAACCTACAATTAGGTTTCATTATATACAGAGAAGTAATCAAATGCAAACCATTTAATTTGTATAAATCGTACAAACATCATTTAATCAATCATAATTTTTCGTTTTGTTCATTTCTTTATAATTATGAAAGGTTGATTAATCATTTTTATTATGGAGGGTGTACTAGTATCATTCATCCATTATCGATAATGATGTGTTTTTGTTGTGATAAATTGAAACCAGTGATGATTACGTTCACAATTATCGGCTCTGTTTGTTCATTATTAGCGGTTCCCCCCCCCCAAATTTAACCCTTGCATCTCTTCGATATTTCTAAAACAGGGTAGATATCTGTTAAAAACTTTATTGCTCACTCATCACAAATTTTTTTCTAAAAATGTGACTTAAAATATAAAATGGACTTACAAGTATTCTCATTTTTGCATAAATTACAGGTATTCTCGTTTGAACCCTGTATTTTTAAATAGATTTTTTACAAATTTTATAATATTGTTTCACATATATATCTTTAAATAGATTTTTTTACAGATTTTTGAAATATTAAGAATCCCACTATTTTGTTGTGGTGTGTAAAATTTGGGTGACGATGACATGCATCACTAACAAAAAAAGCATGTGAGAAGTTGTAGAAAATCAAGATAATATAAGATAATCTAATGATTTTTAATTCAAGATAATAAGATAATCTAATGATTTTTAATTAAAATCAAATGATTATATGATTATTTATTCTTTAAATTTATATTTAAATTAGGGTAAATTTAAACGAGAACTATAAATTCATTGAGAATATGGGGAATAAGCTATTAATGACGAATAACACTGAATAGTAAAAATTATACATGATATTTAGCATATGATAGATATTGTTACTTAAAATTATGGTAGAAGTTATTGGTAGCTCATAACTTGAGATTTATAAGTAGCTTACAAATACTGCTTTGTATTTATGTGGGACAGATTGTTACAAACTCTCTTACTTAAACTCATGACGTCCTCGTCATGTTTGCCCAGATTTTCCACCTTTATATGCATTGTTTGTTTCACAAATATGCCAAAAAACCATTCACGTTGTGAACCAAGTACATGTGAAACAATTACATAGCGAAACAAATATACGTTAATCGATATGCAAAAAAATCATATGCAGAAACATATGATGCACTAGTTCTTAAGGTTATCACAAATTAATGGGTTTTCAGAAGAAAAGTCCCTCTTAAACTGTTAATCTCTCTATATATATAATTATAAAATTTGAATAAAATATTAATATATGATTTCACATACCTACTTTTTTAACCTCCATATTTTTACTGTTTTAGTGTCTGGTTGAAAATGAAAACACCTCTGTTTTTGTGTTTTTAACGTTGGGTTGGAAATGGTCTTATTCATCTTGAATAATTGGTTCCCTTAGATTACTAATGTAAACACCCTTAAATTTTTTATTCAGTTTGTACCAAAATAAGTGTTCATAATAGAAATGGCACACACTTTCAGAAATGCACATATATAATAACAGTTTTTAGTTAACCAACTGACAGTTTTATTCTTAATTAATTTATGTCTCGTGACATTAATTAACAGTAGATTTAAAAATCTAGTTAGCTATTTATAAAATTAAATACTTATTTTAAGAAATATATAAATAAAATTAAAAATAATATTTTAATGAGTGTTTAAATTTATAATAAAATATATTGAAACTATTATTAAATAACTAAAACACTTGTGCAATGATTGCTTTCTTTTGTTTTCTATTTTTCTTATCCTTTTTAATAAAAAATAATAATAATTTTATCAAGTAGAATTAAAAAAAATTGCCTCCTTAAAGCATATATATTTTTATTCGGATATAGATACATATATCTGGATATTCAACCTTTTATGTGAGTCGATTAATTTCAGGGTAACCCCTGCTTTGTAGGTAAACTGGAGTCATCGCATTTGAACCTCCATGACCACAAGGAAATTTGTGTTTCTCTTTTGATTTAAATCTGAGACATTCAAACATTTTTAACCTTTGGAGTCAAACTCAAACTAGTCAGACACCACTTTTGTTGTTTATATATATATATATATATATATATATATATATATATGAGCGATCAAATATAAACCACTCATATTCATACAAACCGTGCAAACCACCCTTATTCATCGATTTCATTGTTCAATTTAAAGAATTCGTTTAATGGAATTGTTTCATATAATACTTTTCTTGATTAAGTTGTTTCATATATGATTAAGAAATTATTTCATATAATATTTATGAAATTTTAATGAAACTGTTTCATGTATTTCTTTAAAATTAATATAATAAAGATTATAGTATTCTTGATTAACACACTTCATAATAAACATGATTAATCAACCTTTCATAATTACAAAAAAAAAATGAAAAATTATGATTGATTATATGAAGTTTATACGTTGTGTACAAATAATGTGGTTTGCAAAGTAAACATCCTCCTCCTCCTCCTCCTCTCTCTCTCTCTCTCTCTCTCTCTCTCTATATATATATATATATATATATATATGTGGTTAAAATTATTAAATAAATGTACTTATTAAATTATTAAAAGGGTACTCGCGCAATACAGCGAGATATATCTCGATTTTAGAGTTGCGGTTTATTCTTTATCTGAAGATGTTATAATACGGGTTTTATGTGGTTTTAAAAAGAGAATAATGTTTTTATTTTTGAATAAAATATAAATTTGAAGATATCATAAAATTTCGAAAATAAATATATCAATATTAATATCAAATTGACTATTTAAAAGTTATTGATTTTGTGTAATTTCTTTAATTCAATTTTTTTATTATAATTTAGTTTAG